TTACTTCTGTCCTTTATGAAACAGGGGTTTATAAATGTATCTTTTCTGTTAATGTTCAACATAACAGACTTTTAGTGAATGAATGTCAGTCTTCTGAAAACGGAAACATATACTGCTGTAGTGAATTTGATGGTAAAAGTAACCTGTTGTCCACTGCAGGAAGTTGCAGGCTAATTTAGGATAACTCAAAATTTAATTTGCATTCCAACCATAGGAACTTCCCCTGTAGAACCTGTTTCAGGGTAGGAAAAAGTCCCTACTCCAGGGCAGGTACTTCTGAAAGTCTCTGAAAAACTGCAGATCTCCACACTGACTGATTGAACTTAAAAGAGACACTGTTCTGTCCACTTGATGTCCTCGACTAGTAGCATTCATCTTCTCTCCAACAACAGAGTCTGACACAACAAACCCCCACTGTTCTATTTCTTATGCGCGCATAGAAGGACTATTTCTTTTTGCACTCTGAGTTATGGCGGTCAAAACTTTTGGATCCTAAACTGTAATAAAAACAGAAAGGCGAAAAGGTTGAAAGGGCTGATTTGGAGACCACTCTTGTAAACATTTCTGCCACTTCGATCCTGCCCCAAGTTACTGCAGTGGAAAGCCACCTATTCTAATATCTTACCTCTGCAGGGTGGCAGGTATCAGCTTTAAAGAGAAAGTGGGAAGTTCCTTTAAAAGGAGCCAACCGAAGTGGTTTGACATCAGATTAGGATGCCTCCTAGGTGACTTAACTTGGAGGGCTTTTTTAGCTGGAAGGAAACTCCATGATAGACCCAGAACTTGCTGAAGGGCTTACATATCTCCTCTGGCCTGGGAACATCTCAGATCCCCCTGGACGACCTGGAAAGCATTGCTGGGTAAAGTGACATCTAAAATGACCTGCTTCACCTGCTCAGACTGACTCTGGATAAATATGTGACAAGGAATGGATGGATGATTTAAGAGTAGATGCTCTTATTAAACTACTACTCTTGTCTAAAGGAGTCTGCTGGGAGGAGTTCCATACATGTGCAATCTGTGCTTCCCTCTGGATGAGCTACAATAATCCAAATTGCTGCAGCCTTTCTGGTTCTGACAGGAACCCTTAAGAGATATCTTGTTTCTCCCATATTTACTTCTGGTCATTGGTTCGTTGTTAAATCCAGAGTAGAATTTAAAATCTTCCTTCACCCTCAGACTGCAGGTTAGCTTGTGGTTGCCAGAGTTTCCAGAAGTAGAATGGGAGCCAGAGCTTTCAGTTATCAGGCTTCTCTGTTGTGAATTCAGCTTCCAGTTTGGGTTTGGGAGACAGACATTCTCTCTTTTTTTAGGCTTAAAATTTTTCGCTTTGATAAAACTTACAGTGAGTGCTGCTCAGAATCACCTGATCACCCTTACTTATGCTGCTGTAGGTTCCCAAGATGCACTGAGCACCTCCCCTTCACTTTTTTTCTCTTCCGTACAGTTATATATCTCTTACTTTGTGCCTAGTCTCTCCCCAGTCTTGTGTTTTGTCCTCTCTACAGGTGTCTCTGGCTCTGGAGCTACACGTCTCTGATCTGCACTCACTGGCCTCACTATCCCCAAAGTGTTTATTGTTCTCCAATGTATTCTTTGTCTGATCTCCATCTGCTATCCAGCTATTTCCACCCACTCCCTAGAGATCAATAAAGTATTCTATCTATCTATCTATGACCACTTGTACCTGCAAAACTAATGGTGTTCACATTAGTCTTGGCTGCACTTTGTGTTTGGTGTGAAGGTGGAGTTCAGCCTGCTGTGTTTGGTGCTTCACTCTGCTGTCAGAACTTAGAGACTGCAAGCTCAATGGGCCGCATCTTAGAAAAAGCTTCCTTTGTTTACATGTGTGAGTCTGGTCTTTAGGCTAATTAGGAACAGTTCCTGGGTGTCTCCTTGTAGAAGAACCACACTCTGTGGGAATGTTACACAACACACTCACTCAAGAATTAATTACACTCCCATTATCACATTCCCTCCTTCATCCATCCACCCATCTCTGCTTATCTTTTTCTCGCTGCCGCACTGTCATCTGATTTACAACTCTACGTTGTCATCGTTTGTACCTCTATTCTCTTAAACTAGCTGTCTGTCATTCTTGGGCTAGAAAGGCTCACTCCAGTAAGAGAGCATTAAAGACAGAGCCAAATGTCAAACAGTTTAGAGAACAGGCTAAAATAACAGCCACATTTAGGATTACAGAGGACATTATTTAAAAAGTTTACAGAGGATTAAGTTCAATATTTAAGAGAAAATGTTTGCTGTAAAGTGTAATGAATGAAGATTGTTTACTCAAGAGACTTTGTCAGTATTGTTGTGTAATGCATTTGTTATTGCAAGCTTCAATTATCTTTAACAGACACAATGTCGACATTTTCTCATTAGACCACACTTTTAAATAGCTTTCCAGGGCGAGCACATTGAAGAAATAAACGAGCTCTGTGAGACAGAGAGGAAGACTTGGTGCTATATTGTAGAAGACACATTTGTTTTATGGTGTTTTTCTCAGCATTCACTTTTAAGATGTCTTCTGCTTGTATAAAGTATACAGCTGTCTTGATGTTAATCATCACATGCGGGTGGTTTTATGGTGCACAGCAGTGCAAAGCTAACCGAACTACTACACTGTGAAAAACTGAATGGATTATTTGTAAGTCTAAAAATAAGATAAGAGCACTTTGTGAACCTACAATTAGTTTTAGAAAGAATAAAGACAATGATGCTTTGGAATTCAACATAAAGGTATGGAACTTTGGAACTTATGTCAATATGAAATGATTTATTTTATTAGACTGAAAGACACTGCCCTCCCCAGGATCACATCACTCTTCCACCCTCTCATCGATCCATTTTTCTCCTGCTGACAAGGTCTTGTGGCAGCAGGTAAAGCAGGTCAATTCAAACTTTCCTGTAAATAGCAATGTTTCCCAGTTCCCCCTGGTGGTCCTGAGGTGTTCCCAGGTCAGATGAGATATGAAATCCCTCCAGAAAGTTCTGGGTCTACCCAAGGGTCTCCTCCAAGCTGCTCAGAACACCTCCAAAGGAAGGCGTTCAGAACACAGCTTTTCGAAGGAGCGACTCTAGTCCAAGCTCCCTTCGGGTATCTGAGTTTGCCACCCTGTCTCTAAAGCTGAACCCTACTCTACAGAGGCAGTCATTGCACTGCAGGAACTTAGGGCAGGTACCAGGTGGCACAAGCTGGAGGAGGCATTCTTCCAGCTTCGCTGTTTCCATTGCAGTGTAAGATGCAACAATTTCGATCACTTCAATAACTCTGGGTGCACCAAAACAACAATAAATTATAGTTAGTGGATATAACGATGATGTTAGAGAAAGGAGGACTGCTACTGGACAAGGACATCAAGAGCACAGAAAAATGGTCTCTTGTTGTCTTCTTTGAGTTTAACCAATCAATTTCAACAGCTGCAAAGAAAAACAAAGATACCTTTTCACTGAACATGTCCTTGAAAGAGGTTCTAGTGAGGAGGTTCTTGTGGTTGGAACAACCATAAACATTTGGGGCTGCCCTAAAGCAACTTGCAATCAGCTTACAATCAAATTTCTGACAGTTTCATAAGTTTTCTTATTTCAAAGGAGCAGCAGCTCTACTACAAGCTCCCTCCAGATGCTCAAACTCCTCACCTGCTCTCTAAGGGTGAGCCCAGCCACCCTATGGAGGAAGGGTTTCCACTGCAAGAACTTGGGGCAGGTGTGAAGTGGTGCCAACATTTACAAGAACAGCCCCCTACTGGCCCAAAGTGCACCAAAACAACAACAAATAGTTACTGGATGTAATTCTAGCTATATTTAGGAAAAAGAACAATGGCTGATTTTACGATGTTGTAAGAAATTACTGCTCCTGGAAATCAAACAGGCAGAAAAAAGGGCACTCGTCCTCCTGAGTTGAACCGATCAGCAGCCACCTGCTCAGCTCAGTTCTTCAGGGCCTCCCAAAAATACCTTTCCTGTGGTTTGATACTTTTCCCCCCTTGAAACAGCCTGAAAGAGGTTCTACGGGGTGGTTCTTTATTTTTTTTGGTACACTCAGAAATAACAGTTGGTTGTTGGATCTTAACTACAATAGAAAACGGGCCATTTACGGGGCAGTAACTGTGAACATTTCTGCCACTGAATGCAAAGTTTCTGCAGCAGAAAGCCGCTTTGCCACCTTTTCTGAACCATCCATCCATCATCTATACACCGCTTAATCCTCACGAGGGTCGTGGGGGGCTGGAGCCTTTCCCAGCCAACTCAGGGCGAAGGCAGGGGACACCCCGGACAGGTCGCCAGTCTATCACAGGGCTACACTTAGAGACAGACAACCAAGCACACTCACATTCACACCTACGGACAATTTAGAATCACCAATTAACCTCAACATGTTTTTGGACTTTGTGGGAGGAAGCCGGAGAACCTGGAGAGAACCTACGCTGCACGGGGAGAACATGCAAACTCCACGCAGAAAGATTCCGGTGCCCCCACCGGGACGTGAACCAGCAACCTTCTTGCTGCGAGGCAACAGTGCTACCAACTGCGCCACCCTGCAGCCCCCTTTTCTGAACCTCAAGACATAATCTCTCAATGTGTTATTTTACAGTTTTAATGTCTCTAACCCAACATAAAGAGTTGACCTGTCCAGACTTTAGACTGTAGTCAAATAAGTGTGGATTTTAAAAAATACTGAACTCTCTGCATTAAAGCAGAACAGTCTAAAAATCTTCCACCTCTGCCATCATCTTATCCATGATTTAACTGACTGTGGCTCTTGGGGACTGTCCATCACTTTTGCTGACAGTCAGTTTAAACGTGACAGCAGATGTAGATGTTTTAATGGTGAAAGTGTTGTATCAGGAGGTTTTACCAAGCTGGGTGGAAGCAGTGGGAAGAACTCTAAATCAAATCAGTGTCCACATATTGAGCAACAGGGTCGGGTGCCTCCTTTGTTTGAGACTGTGCCTAAAATGTTTGGTAAGATGTGTCAGGGGAAGAAAACAACCCAAAGGCTGGAGGTTCGCTTCAGGTCGCGTTGCAGAGAGAGATGAGAGCGAGGCAAACTGCCAGCCTCAGTGGCACCGAGCTGAGTTCATGATTTGGTCTCCAGTTTCCAACCTGCAGAGCGCACCTCCCGTAGCTTTCCCTACATTTCACCTGCCTGCGTCTCCTCTCACCGCTGCGTGTAAAAGCAGCCACACAAGAGGAGGAGTGTTGGCTGCCACTCTGCTCTCAGTTTCAGAGGAGCTGCTGTTGGAGCTGAAAACATCCGCACCGCCTGTTTCTCCTTTACCTTGACGTGCGTAACCGTTTTGCGCTTCAGTCCGCGTCTTGGCCGCCGGAGAGTTGAGACTTCCAGCCGCAACGCAGCGTACCAAGCGAGGTAAAGTTCCTTCCATTTGTACTTCTTTACATTATTTAAAAGGAGGCAGAGGAGATTGGTTTTAGAACCGCTTTCAGCTTGGAAAAGTGGTGTGTGCACATTTCAAGCGCGTTTACTGATGTTTTGGCACTTTACAGAAATTAATTTAACACATAGTATTAGGTAGTGCAATACTGGAATAACCCACATGCAGTGTTTGATAACACTACTGAGAGAAAAAAAAAAACGTTTACGAAACAGAAAAGACATTTAAAACAGAAATGAAAATAATAAAAACGTATTTTATTTTTTAAACATTATCTGTGCCATAGCAGCTCGCACCATAATAGCCGTAGAGACTGTTTCCTATGAGCTGTAAATAACGACAAAAGACAACAATGTGATAGTTGTAACAGACATTTTAATACAAAAAAGCCAAATTCCATGTCCTCACATTTAGAGTCTAGAACAACAGAAAATAGTTTCATGGAGCACTTTAAATTAAACAAACAAACAAACAAAACCCTAAATATTAAAACATAGTTTTTAATCAAATCAAACACTTAATCTCTAATAAAGTTGCTGATTGCCAGTGTTTCAACCAGCTCTGTTGTTAGTGCAACCCAGAGACGGTTTCTGATGTTGTCACTGTATTTCCCCCATAAATCTCCTCAAACTGCAGTTGGGATCTGATGATTAAAGGAGAAAACAGGCCCTCCAACAGGTCCAGCACAACTTTCCTGCATGTTTCGAGTCATTTTGTGAGCTGACCTTTTTACACTAGGTTCTTATTTTTGGTGAAGGCAGAGCTGCTCATGATCCTCAAGGATCAAACATCCACACATCTAAATATTTCCACCCCTGTAGTGTTTCTACAACATATGTTCATTTGCATTTTGGAGTATCACAATTTTGCCAAAAAGCCTTTTAATGCTCACATGAGGTGGTTATCACCTTTATGAAAAAGAGTTCATGAGCTTCATGGAACAGAAACATATTCTCTTAATAATTCTGACTTGACTGACTTTTAACTCACAGCAGCTGTTTCTTTAATTGTTTTCATCTCCAGAACAGCATGAAACACTCTTTATACCAGCTGACATGAAAGAATAATTACAACTTTACCAAGAACACCATCATCCCAGCATTCTGTTTCTACTTTTTATTATATTAAGGTCTTTTTATTACTCTCCTGCAGCCTGCTGCAACACTACACAGCCTAGTTTACTTGTTCCAAAGCAACTCATGTAAACAAAACTAGTTCACTTGTTTATTTTTTTAATTTTACACAACACTGGCAGATTAACATTTTGCTTATATTGTGGTGGTCTTGATGTTGCCTGCCTGAGTCTGGACCTCCAAGGCCAGTGTTGTACTCCTTACACCTGTGAAGGTGTATATTTCGGCCTCTCACCAGTTAACATGAAAGTCTGCATAAACTTCTCCACGGAGGTCTGGTTGCAGCCCAAAATTTACATTTGTGAAATAACGGTTCTACAAGGACGGTAGGGTAAATGCACTGTGCATGTGGACACTGATCTACAGCACATGTATGTAAAGAAGTCCTCTGAGTGGACTAGAAAGTAGTATAACACCAGCTATACATCTGTGGCATCCACAGCTCTCTTCGTGCACTTTTGCAAGAGAGTTTAATCACAGCTCAAATGTGTCTATAATAAAGTCTTATGACAACTGGGTATCTCTTTTTCCATTGATTGTAAGGTAGAGACTCGCTACTTAATGAATCCTGAATAGAAATCTATAGAAGAATTCAGTAATGCCACAGATGGTGGTTATATGACACACATCGTCCTTATTTTCCTCATAAAGATGATTGTCTGCTAACAGCTGAAATAGGAAACTTGAAGCCGGTCATGTTGGTGATCTGATGTGTTGTGAAACTGTGCGCATGCGTAGTATCAGTATAACCAGTTGTGCCAAACTGCTTTTTGAAGTTTATTTTGGGACAAAGTGACCAAATTTGTAAGTCGTTGAATCAGATTTGACCGATCATACTATACATAAAAGTATGGCTTTCTCTTTGTTCATTCAGCAACCTGCATCTGCGTTTCAACTCAAGAATCTGGCTCTAAATTAAGATCTGGTGAGATTTTACCCTACAACCAGGGCCTGCTCTGGGTTGATAACACTGAACACCACAGATTACTATACGGATGGAGCAGCCTAAGAGGGTCTTGGACAGGAAAAGTTCAGGCTTCAGTGTCCATTTTAGCAGTCATTTAGACTGTTTTTCTTGATTGTTCCGAGGATTTGGCTCCGAGGATAAACATAAATCCCACTGTGCTGGAGAAACTGGACATTAGTTCTTGTGCAATTAAAGTTATGGTGGATGTATGTAGAGCATTTTGACTTTTTAGGAATTTCCAGGCGATGTTAGTTTCAGCAGCAGTCACTCTGTCGATGTCTTTGAGAGAGATCTAAGATTACTGTTTGGACAAACGAGCAAAAGTGTTACCACACTTCTCTCCTGAGTCAATTTTGGGCTAAAATGTTTCAAGATCACTTATTTGAAAAGGGCCTTTACAGGTTCTGTATGTTCGCAACATGGCAAATTCAGGATGTTTGGCAGCTGCAGAGGAGCCACTTACTGGATTTTGTAACCTGGAAAGAACTAAGCTAGTTGTTTCATCCCATCACTGGTCTTTATGCTAAGCTAAGCTAACCAGCTTAGCCTTTATCAGCTTCACATTGGTATCAATCAAGTGTTGTGATTCATTAACCCTCTGAACCCCATTCCCTATGTTCTTGTCACACTTTTCCTTACTGTGGGATCGTTTTTCACTGCAGTATAGCATTCTGCATCTTTATGGAGACATTACAACTATGGCTAGAAGGAGAGAGAACTCAGAAATGTCTTCTGTGCAGTATGACACAATGATGACACCATAAATCATAAACAAAAGAAAATTTGAATTTCTTTATTAACTTTACAAAACTTGGAAAAAAACTAAAATCAGGTGCACACAGACAAATGTTGGCTTCACATGCTATTTACATTTTTGATTTGTTTTCATCTTTGTCTTCTATCTACTCTGAGTAAACACTGTTCAGCTAAAAAGTCCCAGAGTTTTATCCTGTGACTGATAGAACCAGATGCTGTGAGCTGTCCCTCATGGTGTTTTAGCTGAAACAAGAAGTGCAGAATTATTATTTTATTTTTATTTTTTGATTTTTCTTGAGGTTTTTTTTGTTTTGTTTTGTTTTGTTTTTTACAGAATCTGAAGTTCTAGTTGAGCAAATATGGATTTTTTTTTTTTTAATGAGAGATGTAGAATATAGTGATTTGAATGAAATACTACAATTTCAAGCTCATACTTCCCAATAGAACTGCACATCACACATGATTACTTCTAGGACTATTAGAAAGGTGAATATCTGATCATCTTTTTCAATTTTTACCGTTTCTGGCTGTGATAAATTATGCTATTTCGGTGATTTTTCAAAAGACTACATAACTGTGTTAAAGCATTGTAATCTGACACAAGCAGCAGTGTCTTCCACTGTCAGTAAAAAAAATAAATAAATAAAAAAAGAAATTCTATACAGACATTTTCCGATTCAATGGACTGGTTTATTAGCTTTTCGCTGGTGGAATGCCATGCTGTCAGAAAACAGATAACTGGACAGTGACACTGGCTCTGCATTGCTCTGTAAACTGAGGTTTCCTCGCTCATCAGCTCGTCGTCGATCATTTTTGCAAGCCTTGTCATAGTTGTGGTCGACCATGTTGTGCAGAAGTGATTTAGAGCTGAAAACACGAGGCCTGTGAGCAACTCTCAGCCCAACAACCCCTCTCTGTGCGCTGGCTTAGACTTGGCGGCTCCACCCTGACCCCCACCCATTACCCCTGCACCCACCCACCCAACACACACACTCACACTGAGGCCTGCAGTGGCCCGTGTCAACCCCCAAATGAAAAGGGGGTGTTATTCTGTGCAGAGACTTGCACACAGTCCACTTCAATTTGTGTAAATGAGTGCTGATCAGGAAACAACAGGTTAAATGAGTTTGTGGCTGTGTGTTGCCTCATGAATAGAACTTTCTGTCGCGTTGACTAATGTATTTGCCATCTACTGGCTACAGCTTGAAAGCAAAAGTTCCCCTAAATAGTCCCGGTGTGTGTGTTTGTGTCTCTGCTGCGTTGTTTGTGTAGTAAACACCTTCATGAGTACATTTTCTGAACTTTTCTCTGTTCAGCAGAATTATAAATAAAATGAAAACATTTATTCAAAGGGGAAGCTGTTTGCAGACTGTGCTCCCTGCTTAAACAAATGAAGTTCTGACGAGCCAGAAGTGAATCCACTGTGCTAGAGACGACAGAACATAAAGCACCGTGTCAGAACACAACTGAAACAAACAGTGTGTATTTATAGCAGTAAAATCAGATAGTGTATCAAAATTTGAATGTGAAAATATTCAGTAACTTTTTTTGCTCAGTTTCCTAAAACTTAGGCATACCTTCCCAAAAAGCTGATTTTAAAGCAAGTCTCATACGGTCTCTGTTGAAATATATGTGAACATTTTAACAGATCTGAAAATTCAAAAATACAATATCCCCATGGATTGGCCTTAACAGTAAGAGGTTCCATCTGGTGATATAACCAGACGCTGCAGCTAATTTAGAATGTTTGATTTTATAATGTTTTATTATATAGTAAAATGGTGTCAGGTATTGGCAGATAAATGGACTGCACCTATGTAGCGCTTTTCTACCTTAGCAACACTCAAAGCACTTTACAATGTTTTCCTAATTCACCCATTCACACACACATTCATACACCAATGGCGACAGAGCTGCCATGCAGGATGCTGCCTGCCATTGGGAGCAACTTCAGGTTCAGTTTCTTACCCAAGGACACTTTGACTGTGGAGGGGCGGGGGATCGAACCTTACGATCAGAGGACAACAGCTCTACCACCTGAGCCAAAGCCGCCTACTAAATATCAAATGACTCACATCAGATCGGGGGGGCTATTATTAGCTTGTTTGAATCAGTTTCT